CAAAATGCTCCAAAAGTGACCAAATTTCAGGAGCACGTAGTACACATCGAAACAAAGAAAAAAGTTCCAATAACCATACATCGAAAAATTCATATTTCCCAAGTTATACTCAAAACATTTTACTAGCGCTGTGCGACCTTTCGGTGACCCCTTTTCGCGCAAAAGAAAACTTGCCGGTAACTCCGAAAATGCTAATTTTTCGACCTACGTCCATCCCAACTTTTTTACTCGTTTTTACGAGTACCACATACTCCCCAAATTTCTTTGGAACAACATATCTTCAAATCGCGAAAGAAACCCCCGAGGAAGCCCCAATCAACCCATCGGCGTTCGTCTTCCCTGGAGAAAAGAGAAAAGACGGATGCCACGCGACGGTCCAAGACCTCTCGAGGAACGGAAGGTGGAGAAGAAGAGCCCGAGGGATAAAGTGTAAGGAGCGTTGGTCGAAGTGGTAGTGCGCTTACCCCGCGACTGCGGCATATCCTGCGACCGGTTGTGCCGCAGCTGCAGCTGCGCTGTATGCGCGCGCAGCCACTGCCGTGTAGGTCGCTGCAGCTGCGTAGCTGGCCTGCTGCGCCGTCGAGAGGGGCGTCTTCAGCAACGGTGACGCTGCAGCCGCTGCTGCCGCGGCCTGAAACAGGAACCATGACCCGCCATGCAAGGCTCAAGCAAGCTCCAAGACAGACCAGACAAGGGTGTCCTAGCGGAGAAACGGTACTAACGCGTCCTCTTCGAAAGCGACCCAACTTTAAACGCCCCCGCACACGTTTCGCAAATGTCCAAACTTCCCCTACTCTCTCTCGTCAACTATGGGGCATTCAGCCTACTCAAACGAGGTTCCACTAGCTTTCACAAGGGACTTCTACCTTAGTCCTCTCGTTCTTTCGTAGAACATCAAAGGATTTTTCTACGCTTTTCGAAGCTTCTAAAGGGTTTGGACCTGTTTTTACCAGAAGGGGATATTTTCGAATGCGGAGATTTCAGAGAAGTTTGCGTTGCTTTTATTTTTGCGACGTGCAGGGACCTTCACACGGGCGCTTTTTTGTATTTTTTTTTTTAAAAGCGCATGGATGAAACAGCCAATGTCGTTTGTGCATATATATTCGACGAGGTTGTTTACGAAATCCTCAACTTTTCCACGGCCTTCGGGGGTAGTTCGGAGAGCCGAAGGCCGTTTCATCCATACGCCACGGTGTGCAGATAGTAAAAAGTTTCGAGCACTCAGCTAAACGTGGTTCTCGAAGCTACTGCTTTCTGTCGATCAAAGCTCAAGGAGGCGTGACTTATGTACAAAGAATGATGCGATAGAATGATCATAGGTAACGATGTAAACTCGTCGAAATCGATTTCTGCGTCGATCGTTGTACTAAAATTCTCCTTTCTTTTTTCACAAATTTTCTACGTCTAAGGTAACACGAAGGGACGAACACACGCGTGTGATAGTGAACGTAAGAGAATTTCCGTTAAAAGGGAGGAATCGAAGGGCACGAGAGCGATTTATCAGCCAGATAACATTCGAATATCGATGTTCACGTCGTGATTAAGACACTTTTCATTTATCTTTAGGAGAGAGGAAACGCGAAATCTACGTGCATGCAACTAAAGTGCAGGTATATCTCTCCTCCATCACCTGTCGAAGCTAGCCTTCGCGCTATTTTCATCTTACACGCATCGTCGAACCGTGACACGCTAACAGGATAAAAGTATCTCCTCCGATATTTTCCAGTAATGAAACAAACTGGAGGAAAGAAAGTGAACGTAAAAATTCTTCATTTATATTCAACATTTCTCCCCCTCTGCAAGGTTGGAGAAGAAGTATGGAAAGTTTTTAATTGAATCGGAGTAATAAAATTTTATTGGGAATGGATCGGCGCGAGGAAGTCCTTTTTCTAACTTATATACCCTATAATCTGATTTTACGTCGGAGCAAGACGTATCCGTTTTCTGCTCGCGATTCTCCTGGAATTACTATTCGACTGATTGCAGCGGAGCCTTATTTCCCGTCACTGTTCTCCTTAAGTGCGCCGAAATTAAATCCCCAGCTCTTGCGACACTGTTCCTTCCTTCTTCTTTTTTTTTTTTATTAAACTTCTCGGTAATTTCGAAACGATATCAGACCGGGAGAGAGAAGCTTTCTGGAAACCGGAGAATATCGGTATCGCGTCACCGGAAGTGGAGGACTCGCGATGCTTTTTCTCTCCTCTTTGCTAATGAAACGAGAATCACACGGTAGATTAGAATCTTTTTTAATTAACTGTATGGGTTTCGTTGGAGGAGCTGGAGTAGATTGGATCGAGTGAAAGTATAATTTGATTGTTTTTTTTTTTTTTGTAGCGAAGTTTAGTACAAAGTGGAAAGAAGAGAAGATTTAGCGAAGTGTAATTTTGAGCGAGATATAATTATCGATGGATTAATGTTTGGAAGATAAAGTGGATGTTTCTTGAGAGAGTGAAAATTTCGAAGAAGCCTTGAAGAAGGTTTCTACGGCGATGGAACGCTTTCCTCCGGAACAACCGGGACGTTTTTCAACGCGGGGTGATTAATGATTGGTTTCTCTCTACAGGAGACTCGTTTTCTTTCGCGAACTGTGCACCCAGCAAACTTCCCATAAATCATAAGCTTCCGTGTAATGATCGTGGTTAATTTTTTTTCTTTTTTTTTTCCTTTGCCTTGTCATGGGTAATCTTGAGGAATTCAATGTCCTTCTCGAATCAAGATTGATTCGAAAAGTAAGCTTTCGGAGAGCACAGTGTTGAGTACGTGGAATTCTCGATTTGAAATGTCTCAAAATTTTGCTCGGAGAATTAACGAATTTTTAAATGGGAAATTCTAATTTTGGGATTCTGAATTATAAATATCTGAAGAATTATCAAATTATCGAAGAGGGTCGCAAACTCGTAAAATTCCAATTTTGGGATTCTGAATTCCAAATATTTCTAAATTCTACTCGCTTAAGTATCACAATTATCAAAATTCCACTCAGGGAATTGTTAAAATTATCAAAGAGGATTGCAAACTCTCAAATTTCCAATTTTGGAATTCCTACTTCCAAATATCTCAAAATTTCACTCACAGAATTCCCAAAATTATCAAAGAGGATCCCAAACTCTCAAATTTCCAATTTTGGAATTCCTACTTCCAAATATCTCAAAATTCCACTCACAGAATTCCCAAAATTATCAAAAACTCCACTCAGAGAATTCCCAAAATTATCAAAGGGGATCACAAACTCTCAAATTTCCAATTTTGGAATTCCAAATACCCCAAAATTCCACTAACACAATTCCCAAAAATAATTCCCTAAAACAAACACCAAACTTCCCAAAGAATCAAAAAATTTCTCTTCCAAAAATTATCAAAATAAAAATAACACCGTCCCTAAGATCAAGCAAATTTCCCAGGGAGTATCACCAAACCACATCCTTTCCATTCCATCAACATCTCCCTCGCGAGACAGACACACGCCCGTGGCGGAACTTTCCGTTCTCCACAGCTGTCACCCAAACTTTCGATAATAATTCTCCGCGCGGTTTGGAATAACGACGAGGGCTGCGATGGAAACGAAAACACGTTTTCGATGGCGCCACCAACTTCTGGACCGGTTATGGCCGTGGAATTGTCGGCCCGAAAGAGAGCCCAGAGGCAGAGGAGGCGCGACAGCGGAAAGAAATTCTCTCGCAGCCAGCGGAACACGCGCGAGAGAGAGAAACACCGCGGGAGATGTGTTTTTTGGGTCGCGGTTCTGATTTCCAAATGCGGGACACGTTCTTTTCGTTCCGTGATTTCCGTGGAATTTGGGTCAAGCGACGACTCATCTCGACGCCTGTTTAACCAACAGACGGGAGAGAAGTCCGAGAGTAGGAAATTATTTAACGTTATCCCGAACCTCTGCAACTTATTGCCTCGGTTGAATTTCTCGTTGACCGAATGAAACGGACGTTTTTCACGTCACACCGAGATTTTATGGAATATTTGCTAGCTTGAGTGCAGCGTGTGTTCGATATTGTCATCTGGAGGTGCTTTTGAAGGCTGTGTTTTATCTGTCGGTGGTTGCGATGGGTTAACTGTTACTTCAACATCTGAGCAATTCTTTAGGAGTTTAGAGAATTGTTCTTTTTAGTGGCAAGCAGATTTTGCGGTTGTGTCCTTTTTATTGTAGGTTGGAAGATTTTTTGAAAGTTTTTGGGGAATCTTATTCGGGATTCTTGTGGAATGAAGCTTAATATTGCTGGAGATCTTGAACTTTTATGCGATTATTTAGCGGTACTGAATGATAGAGGCGTTATTGTTATTAAATCTTTCACTGTACCATAAAATAATGAAAAATGCTACAGAACACGACTCAAAAATATTGCACATTTTTATCAAATCTTATCTGTTATAAATCATTTTTAAATTTTTATCTAAATCATTCAAGAAACGAGTAAAGCTTGCCCCGTTCACACCAGCAAATTTCAATAATCACTCTCTAATTTCCTTAGAAGCGGAATATAACAGGGTAAAATGTACAGCAGCTTCGCCATTTGCAGACTGAACAAACGTTCAGCCTCTCAAATATTTCAATGAACTTTTCACACGACTTCAAAAATCAAAATTCACTTCATCCAGAATTTCTCCGCGATAAATGTCCAAAAACTAAATTTCAAAGCATACAACAGAAGAAGAAACATTTGCCCAATTTTCACCTGATAAAGCGACTCACCCGGTACACGAAATTCTAATCATCGAGCGGCCCCTCAATTTCCCCGGATTAACCGGAAGTGCCTCTAACGGTTCCGCGAATTGCAGTTTGCCTAAAACGTTTCGATATAAAGCTGCTCGCACCCGATACTTAATTTCGGCGTGGTTAGAGAGGGTGGATCGCGAAGGGTCAATTAACTCTCGGTTATTTTCACACGCTGGAGAAGAGGAAGGTTCGAGGGGAGAAGCAGAAGCAGCGTTTGCAACGTCCGTTGGATCGCTCTCCTTTTTCCACGCATCCTATACCCTTTTCCTCGCGCAAGTTCCGCAGCGTGGAAACGACGAGACCGCAACGCGGATCTCGCGTTTACGCCGCCTCGCTTCACGGGTCAGATGTTACGTTAACGATCTCCTCTCTCTCTCTCTCTCTCTCAGTTCGCGTAACGTTTTACCCTGTAGACATGAGAGAACCCACGCCTCGATAATTGCTCCCTTTTCGTCCCCCTCTTTGAACACGACGACAACTTGGTCCATACGAGGGAAGTCGATGGCCTGTAATTGGTCGCAGGAATTTCACGGGGAATGTCACTCGGACCTCCGGTGTTTTGGGAAGTTGCGCGGGGAGTATCCAAGTTTGCGAGGAAGATTTTTCGACGTGCAAGCGACAACTTGATCAGAAATCTTTCACTCTAATTCTAGAATTCTGTGGCGCTAGAAATTTGTGGAAATTCTATGCGACGTCCGGTAAGAAGAATATCGTTTTATGTTTCTCGTGGTTTTCGACGAAGATTTCTAGCTATGCAAGTGATAACTTGATTAGAAATCGTGACATTTGCTTCCATTTTGATTTTAGAATTTTGCGGCGTTTAGCTAGAGATTTATCAAAATTCTACGCGACGCTGAGCAAAAGGAACGTTTCTCGTAATTTTCGATGAAGATTTTTAGCTATGC